GAATTCGAGAGGTTTCTCCGCGGCGGCTGCGCGGCCGTCCGTCGGCCCGGCTCAGACTTCAGGACTTTTTGCTGGGGGCGGAATGGCTTTGTCCCCCCCCTAACTTTGCTGGGGGAGTCTTTTGCTCGGCCTGCTGGAGCCCCCGGGTGAAACGCTTGCTTTGGGGAGCGGGGGGATTGCAGCCTAAAAAAGGGGACCCCCCCCCACAAATGCAAGAAAAGGAGGAAAGAGAGACCGCGTGGATTCCGAGCAGCTTTTGGTGAAGCAGCCTCTGGTTCGCCGGGCTTCAGCTGGGAAGCACTATCGCTCCCATCATCCCCAGCCTGCATCAGGGGGCTGATTGAAGCGTGGGAACCCCAAACATCGGGGAGGGCTTGGCTTGGGGTTGGGGCTTCCCCAAGTCTGTCGTTGGAGCTTTAATGCCTTTGCAGTCTCTTTCTTTCCTGCCTTGGGGAGAAAACCTGGGGAATTTGCTTCAAATCTGCTGGGGGAGCATGGCGGGCGGGGCGCTTTTCTCCTACATGACCTCATTTGGTCTTTTAGGTAGATCCAAACTCAGTTTATCGAAAGGGAAAGTTCTTGACGTGGATAAGTATAGATCTACGGCCTGTGGCCAGCTAAGAGGGTTGGGAAGGGCTTGTTTAAATCCTTTGAAAGGAAGCCGGTGCCAGTGACTGCCAAAAAGACCCCCCCCCCCGTTGGTCCGTTTCAGGAATTGTAATCCAAGTCGTCCCCAATGCTGGAGAAAGCTGGTCAGATTCTGGCCAGTTTCTCTGTTCGTTCCCCCTCTGTGCAGCTAGGCTTGCTTACTTGAGCTGCCTAGCCAGCAGGGCATCTCCGTATGTGTGGTTAGCCGTGGCAGTGGTGTTCTGGGGAGAGGAGGAAGAGGAGGGAGCAGAACTGTGTTGTCTGTGGAGTCCTTCTCAGCCACATGGCCCTTGTGTCCAAACAGCTGTGATGCCATCAACCCTTGATTATTTATTTAAAGGTTTATATGGCCGCCCCGCTGCCAGAAATGCAGCTTCCGGCGACGTACAACCATAAAAACAAATATTAATATCTCACAGTAGTCTTGGGATGCTTGAGAATTTCTTGCAAGTTTCTCTTCGTTGCTATCATAGCCTCCCGGTCTGCTGCTCCAGACAGATCTTTATCTTCATTGAACAACAGATAAGATGCCAGTTCTTTGGTCTGTGCTGAGTGTGCATTTACTGCATTTCTCTCTCTCTCAGTGCTAAAAGCAGAATAACCACAGGGTAGACAGTTTGCGTTGCGTAGGAACACGCCAGCGTGTTAGCTGCTGACGGGTGTTTTGCAGATGCCCCAAGGATGCCCTCCATGAAATTGAGACTCAGCCTCTCCTGGCTGGCTGGGGATGATGGCAGAGGTTGCAGGGCAACCTGTTTGCCCAGTTGAAACAACTTATTTTTTTCTCTGGAAAGGTTGCAGGCAAGGAGTCCCAGTTAGGCCCACCTTGAACTGTCTGGGCTGAGCCCCGCATTAAATTAAAAATTGAATTCAAGCTTTTTGTAAGCGGGGACCCCCAATTGTGCAGCGGTGCCTGAAGAGGGTGGTTACCCCTGTGATGCTGCTGGTTGTTTAAGGACCCTGAATGAAGTTGGGCTTTTTTTTAGAAAATCCAGAGGTTTAACTTAACTTCTTAACTGCCCAATTTAAACCATTCTTGGAGAGATGCTCCCCCCGCGCATTGATGCTCAGGGAGTGGCGTTCTTCTGAACTTCATCAAACCTGACCCTGGCGTAAATGTGCCTCAAAGTAGGCTGGAAAACATTTGCAGGAAAGATTTTTTTTTTTCCAAAGTGTAGGGCTGGGTTCTTAACAAGCAGAAAGAAGGTGGATCTCATATCCGGGTGTACTTGATGAATAGTTCTTTATTTTATATATCTTTGGATCAGCTCATGTGTTTCTTTGTCATGGCGTCGATTGGGGCACAGTGAAAAATTTGGGGAAGGGTGGAGCGAAGTCAGCCGTGTGCAACCAACCGCCTGTGTGGCTCTGGGCGTGAAATGTTATGTAAACCGCCCCCCCACCCCACCCTGCACTGGAAGGCCTGTGTGTGCATGTGTAACAGTGCATCCATAGTGCAGCAAAAATAGCATTCGGCTCGGCTTCGTTGACGTGTCGTGCCCGGTCGGTTTATAGCTTCACAAGGACTGGAAGGAAGCACAAGATAGAAAGGAAGGTTTATTTCCTTTAAGTTCCAGCCTGCATAAGAACATCTGTTTCATGAGCTCCTTGGACATGGATGGTTTGATATTGAAGATAGTTTTGCACCGAAGATAGGATTTGGGGTACAGTCCTTTTCTTTTCTCCTTCCTTCTTCCTGTTTAATATAATTAATTCCTCTAAAACGATAACTTGATTCCTGTAAAAATTCCTCTGTTTAATTCCTCTAACATAACATTTCGACACAATCCAAGACCAGGAACGTTTTAAAGAGGGCAAAAATAAAGCCCGTGGTAAAAGAGGTAAATAATTTATGGCTAATTTCAGTGCTGAGTGAATTTATTTGGTTGGCTCTAGCCTGTATGGGAGGCGAGATAAAATTATGAGGCTGTTAAAATGGCCTCTTGCATCAGACAGAGGAGCAACGCATGAGGTCAGGCTGTTCAATTCACTCCTTTAGTAAATAAACCAAGTATATTTGTCATTTCCTCTTTGATTAAGGGACAGTGTGATCTTTTGGTGAACCATCTCCCTGGGATCGGTTTCTGGCTTCTGCCTGAGATTTTTGGGGTACCAGTTGATATCGATGTGAGATCTCTCCAAAACAATCTTTTGAAGCCACCAAAACATTTTGTCTGAGATGAGATGCAGTTTCTCAGTTTTCTTCTGAAACGGCTTCTGGTTTTCTACCTCATTCTCAGAGGGCTTGACAACTTCTTCTGAAGTTCTCTGGGTGGTATTTTCCAGCTTTCTTGTGGGAGGAGGAAGACAGCTGATCGTTGTGATTTTTTTCTTCTTCTGTGTTTCCATCACTCCCTGGCCTCAATACCTGAAAAAAACTCCAAGGGTTTCCCTACACACATACACACCCATACATTGAGCCGAGGAAATTACAGACTGCTGGGAAAATAGTGGTAGAAGGAAAAGTAGACCACTGAGCGATCCCCATGTCCAGAAACAGCCTCATGTCTTCTCCTTTGCAAGAAAGGTCCGCTCCTTGCCGAGGAGCGCTTCAAAGCAACTTCTCTTCTATGAGGTAGAAGTGATTTAAAATAAGATAGATAAGGATTTCTCTGCACAACCCCGTGCCTGGTAGGAAGGGCCATGCATGGCCAATGAATTTATTAAGGGCTCTTTGTCTGTCTCTTGGCACCATGAGTTGCAGCTCATAGTGATCTCAGGTGGCTGGCAGCCAATTGTTGATTTGAAAAATCTGTTCGCTTGGCACCAGAGCATGGATCTCCTTAAGCAGGAAGGGAACAGCACGTTCTCCCAGAAGCAACATCTCCCTGTCCAACGTCTGCTGATCCTGGAGATAAGACTTGGAACATCTGGAGGAACTTTTGGTGTGTTTGCAGTTCTGATCAGCAGGCAACCTTCAAGATGAACGCACAATCCCAGTTTGGGGCGTCTGAATTGGCAGGGAGGTGTGGCGATTCGAGGCCGGGATGTGTCCCGATTCACTGCAAGCCCCCTTTCCAGTTTTCTTCCTGTAGGATTAGCACGCTGCGATCACCCACTTTGCTCAGTCGCGTTGTCGGAGATGCTCTGAAATGGCTTTAGCCAGCATGGGTTTGCAGCGTCCCACGGTGGTTATTTTCTGGAAAGACGCTAGTACCGTGTTTCTCCACCACGGGAACTTTAAGACGTGTGGACTTCAGCTCCCAGAATTCCTGGCTGGGGTGTGCATTTTTGCACATGTGCCTGTGCATAGATAAGCAGGATGCGTGTATGCATTGGTGTGGAAAAGAAATGAAAACAGGATAATTCATTTGTGCCATTCCTGGTGGGGAGTGGTTCCTGTTCTGGTTTGTAAAACAATATAAGCATTGGAACATTTTCATCTGATGCGCCAAGGCTGGCTGGCTGGCTGGCTGGCTGGCTGGCTAACGGCGCCGATCCTGTGGCTGTCTTCCTTCTCTCGCCATCGTGGGAGTCACAGAGGTGGAGATGGCAAGCCACGCGACTTACGGCCACCTTCAAGGCGCACCGTAACTTTCCACATGGGGGCCACGCTTTTACGTCCTTGGGCTGGAGCGTGGGTCGTGCTGCTTTGGATGGCAAGAAACATGCACCATTCTGCTTTTCGGCAGGAGGGTTCAACGAGGAAGAGGCTTCCAGGCCAACCTTCAAAGTCCACATATTTTTCTAAGATGTTTGCTAAATGTTTGTTTTTGCTGGTAGACGTGTGGCTTAATTTTTAATGCCGTGAAAGAAACAGACGTTCTTAAAATCCAGGCCTACGTTGGATGATAGATCCTTCTGTTTGAAGGAGGACAAAAATGTGCCTTAAGATGCTTGAGAAAAATCTGCTCATCCTTTTTAGAGTCTTCCTGTTTAAATAGCCTTGAGAGGCCCAAAGACTTGATTATCATGGATGATTTCCCTGCTGTTAGTAATGAAGACATTAACTTGGTTAGCCCATGGCGCTAAACCAGGATAGCCTTTGTTTTGGGGTTGGGCTTGTGTAGTATTGCACGGAACCCTTGGTCCATCTGTCTCAGCGTTGTTAGAACTGACAGGGTTCACCTCTTGTGCTAAACCATGGTTCATAGCTTTGCTCTGCAATCCTAGCCAGTTCTGGTTTCTGCCCCTACAATCCTGGTCGTTCATTTTTCTCTCGGTTTTCTTCCCCAGTTTCTTCCGTCTGTAATACTGGCTCCCCCAGCGGCCCACCGAGTGAGGCTCGTTGGCGCCCAATATGGCAGGCGAAGACCTCATCTTTCACATGGAGTATCTTGACAATGCCAGGCTGACCAAACCAGGTTGTGGGAACTGCCACGATGCTGACAGCGACGAGGAGGAGAATTACTATATCTGCCCGATCACCGACGACCCTGTTTTGAGCAAGGCAGCCGGGGATAAAGTTCATAACTATTATAGCAACTTGGTAAAAAATGAACAATATTCCTCCAGCTCTTCTCCGCAGAATTCCTTCCATTTTAGGGTAAGTTTTAGCCTTTTGGTGAACGTTTCTTTCTTCGGCTGGCATGACGAGCTTTCTTGTCTGCTTTGGCTGCTTGTAACTAACTCTGCCAATAAATATTATAATTTTGGAGTTTGTTTGTTTGCTTGTTGGCTTTGGTGGAGTTCTTCCCCTTTTGCTTAATGTCAGTTATCATTACAGGTAATTGATTTCACGAACCTGCCCTCTTCCTGCGTTTTGGATAAGCGGGCTGGCCCATTCTGCATTTTGCATCGTTTATTCTTTGGCCAGCATGCACAGTGGTTACGCTACAAAGGTTGAAGGAGATGTATAGAAGAAGGGGTCCACGTAGGGCAGGGTTCCTCACCCTCAGCAACTTTAAGATGGGTGGACTTCAACTCCCAGAATTCCCCAGCCAGCATGGCTGGCTGGGGAATTCTGGGGATTGAAGTCCACCCATCTTAAAGTTGCTGAGGTTGAGGAACCCTGATGTAGGGGAACTCCTGAGCAACATTTTTCCCATCCTAAATCTCCCTTAACCACTGACGTCTTGGCTAGACCACTTTCCACTAGTTTCACGACAATGTCAACCATGGTTTACCGTTTGTAATGAGGGGGTTTGCCCCCATGCCAAAATCAAACCATGTTTCAGCTGAGCATCTTTGGGACCTCAGCAGAGAGGGCACCCTCGCCCAGAAAAGTCCATTGTACGTATGCGCAAAACCTGTGCTTCCGGGAACGGAATGTTCTAGAATGCTCCCATTGTCCTCGGGACCCATCATGGCTGCCCGGAGAACGTTCTAGAATGCCCCTGAATGTTCTGTTCCCAGAATGGTGGGTTTGGCCCAGCCCCGATCACCTGAGATCTCCTAATTTCTACCCTCATTGCTCTTAAATTGGGCTCAACTGGAGCAGATTTGGCCTCCACTCTCCCTGTGTCAACATGACAGTCTTAAATATTGTAATTACTGTGCAAGAATTAGATTAGATAGCTAGATTATGTAGCTAATCTCCACTTTACCTCTTATCTTTTTTGTTATTATTGTAATTAACGACTGTATATTAGTCCCAGTAAGCTTTCCCTGTAGTATTTGGATATATTTTTATATATATTTTATATATATATTTGGATATATTTT